AAAAAAAAAAAAAAAAAAAAAAGGAAAGAAAAAAAGAAAATTACAGGCCAGTATCCCTGATGAACATTGATGCAAAAATCTTCAACAAAATATTAACAAACCAAATTCAGCAATACATCAAAAAGATCATGCAGCATGATCAAGTGGGATTTATTACAGGGATGCAAGGATGGTTCAATATCCACAAACCAATCAAGGTAATACACCACATGAACAAAATGAAGGATAAAAATTATATGATCATATTAATAGATGCAGAAAAAACATTTGACAAAATTCAACTTCCATTTATAATAAAATCTCAATAGAGTGGGTATAGAATGAACATACCTCAACATAATAAAGGCCATATATAACAACCCCACAGCTAACATCATACTCAGCAGTGAAAAACGGAAAGCTTTTTCTCTAAGATCAGGAACAAAACAAGGATGCCCACTCTCACAACTCTTATTTAACATAATATTGAAGTCCAAGCCACAGCAGACAAGAAAAAGAAATAAAGGTATACAAATTGGAAAGGAAGAAATAAAATTGTCACTATTTGCAGATGACATTATATATATAGAAAAGCCTAAAGATTCCACCAAAAAACTATTAGAACTAATAAATGAATTCAGTAAAGTTGCAGGATACATAATTAATATTCTGAAATCTGTTGCATTTCTATGCACCAATAATGAACTATCTAAAAGAGAAATTAAAAAAAAAAAATCCCATTTACAAATTGCATCAAAAAACACCTAGGAATAAATTTACCAAGGTTGTAAAGAACCTGTACTGTGAAAACTACAAGATGAAAACCAATGAAAGAAATTGAAGACACAAATAAATGGAAGGATAAAGTGTTCATGCATCAGAAGAATTATTATCGTTAAAATGTTCCTACTACCCAGAGCAATCTACACATTCAATGCAATCCCTACCAAAATACCAATGGCATTTTTCTCAGAACTGAAACAAACAACCCTAAAATTTATATGGAACCACAAAAGACTCTGAATAGCCAAAGAAATCTTGAGGGGGGAAAAATTGGAGGAACCACAATCCCTGATTTCAAACTATCCTACAAAGCTATAGTAATCAAAACAGTATGGCAATGGCACAAAAAAAACAGACACATAGATCAATGGAACAGAACAGAGTCTCCAGAAATAAACCCGTGCTTATATGATCAATTAATCTATGACGAAGAAGGCAAGAATATATAATGGGGAAAAGACATTCTCTTTAATAGATGCTGGGAAAATAGATACGTGCAAAAACCTATACCGCTCTCTCACACTATATACAAAAATAAACTCAAAATGGATGAAGACTTAAATGTAAGACCTAAAACCATAAAACTCCTAGAAGAAAACATGCAGTAAACTCTTTGACATTGGTCTTAGCAATATTTTTTGGATATGTTTCCTTGGACAAAGGCAACAAATGAGACTACATAAGCTAAAACACTTTTAAACAGTGAAGGAAAATATCCACAAGATGAAAAGGCAACCTAGTGAATGGAAGAAGATATCTGTAAATGACATATCTGATAAGGGGTTAATACCCAAAATATATAAACAACTCATTATAACTCAACATAAAAGAAAATCCAATTAAAAAATGGGCAGAGAACCTCAATAGACATTTCTCCAAAGACATACAGATGGCCAACAGACACATGAAAAGATACTCAAAATCACTAATTATCAGGGAAATGCAAATCAAAACCACAATGAGATACCACCTCACATCTGTCAGAATGGCTACTATAAAAACACAAAACAACCAAAAACATAGAACAAGTGTGGAGAAAAAGGAACTCTCATGCACTGCTGGTGGTATTGTAAACTAGTGTAGCCACTATGGAAAACAGTGTGAGGGTTCCTCAAAAAATTTTAAAAAACTAGTACTACCATATGACCCAGCAATTCCATTCCTAGGTACTTACCCAAAGAAAATGAAAACAGTAATTTGAAATTATTTATGTTCACTGCACCCCTATATTCACTGCAGCGTTGTTCACAACAACCAAGATATGGAAGCAATCTAGGTGTCTTTTGAAAGATGAACAGATAAAGAAGATATATATGTACAGTGGAATATTACTTAGCCATAAAAGGAATGAAATGCTGCCATTTGCGACATAAGTGGACCTAGAGTACTATGGCAAGTGAAATAAGTTGGACAGAGGAAGACAAGTACTGTGTGATTTAGCCTATTTATGGAATCTGAAAAAAGCAAGCAAACAAACAAACAAAACGAAATAGGAATAAACCCATAGAGAGGACAAACTAACGGTTGCCAGAGGGAGGAGGTGGGGGAATGGGCTGAAAAGGGGAGTGGATTAAGAAGTATAAACTTCCAGTTATAAAATAAGCCATAGGGATGTAAGGTACAGTACAGGGAATAGTCAATAATATCGTTAATTACTACATACGATAACTGATGGTTACTAGACTTACTGTGGTGATCACTTTGCAAGGGACATAAATGTTGAATCACTATGTTGCACACCTGAAACTAATATAATATTGTACATCAACTATAATTTTAAAAAATTAGCCACAATTTAGAAACAAAAAGGTAAAGTCATATTTAGATTTTACTATCTGCCAATTCTTAGAAAGTCAAGATGCAAATGAAGGGTTCTCAAAGTTTTTGGTCTTAGAATCCCTTCCCAGTGTTAAAATTACTGAGATTCAAAAGAACTTTTGTTTATATAGGTTTTATCTATCAATATATAACAAACCCACTATGCTAACACAGACAACATAGTTTATTTAAAACAACTATACTTTCTAAAATAAAAAATTCAGTGAGAAAAGTGGCAATCCTTTACACTTTTGTAATTCAAATAATCTAGTTTAATAAAAGACAGCTGGGTTGTCATATCTGCTTCTGCATTCATCTGTTGTTATGGTTTTTAGGCTGAAGTATACGAAGGAAATCCAACCTTCCACAGACATGTAGCTGGAAAAGAGAGAGCCCTAAGATTCTCTGAGAGGGTCTCAGTGAACCTGTGGGGGTCCTCAGACCACACTGAGCTGCTGATGTAGGCCATAGGGGATGGATTGTTTCTACAGTTTTTGAGACTAAAGTTTTCAATTTTTTCCTGTTAAGGCAAAAAGAAAAAAAGGAAAAATCCAGAAATATTTCACTGAGGAATAATAAAGGATATGTCACCATACTAAGTTAGTCGATAAAGTAAAAATTTAATTGAGATTTAATTTCTCTACTTTAACACTGGAAATCTACGGCTAGGTAAGAAACAGGTCATAACATATTTTACAGTAAATTATAACACAATATTTTTATCATACTGCTAAGCCCTTCGATTTTGCGCTTCTGTCTGTCTTGCAGGACACCAAGTTTTTCCTTTCCTCCTTTTCTCTTTCACTGCCCATCTGCTGTCGGTCCCGGCCTTCTTCCTTTTGGCCTTTTTCTCTCCCAGCATATGTGTTTAGAAGACTGTCCCTTTAAATCAGTTTATTCTTTAAATAAGTCTTAAGATTTCTAAAGACAGACTTTAGAAATCATGCAATTGGCAGTTGTGTCGTGTCTCTTTAAACTGAGTGCCTGAAAAGGGCACCAATCTCTTTAAATTCAGTGCCAGTATCTTTTTTTTTTTAATTGTATCTTTATTGATTTCAGAGAGAGGAAAGGAGGGGGAGAGAGAGACAGAAACATCAATGATAAGAGAGTCACTGATTGGCTGCCTAGCCTGCAACCCGGGCATGTGCCCTGACCGGGAATCGAACCCCAATCTCCTGGATCCTAGGTCAATGCTCAACCGCTGAGCCACGCGCGGCCGGGCAGTGCCAGTATCTTTTTATGGCATCAGGCCCATTAAGAAGATGCTCTTACTTTGAAATCTGTTCCCTGCAGTTTGTGGTCTAATCTCCCCTTTTGTTTTAAAAACGGTTTCAGATTTTGAGTGAATTTAATCTTCCTGGTGATTGTTCCAATTTACCCACAGGCCCCGTCACTAGTGCTGCGTCTTCCTCTAATTTTTTCTGCAGTCTGCCTCTACTTGCCTCAAAGTGCCTGGCAGAATGGGGGCAGGACAGGTGTGTGTGACGGGGCTCGTGTTTGTTTTCTTCCTTTCATTCATGGTTATATTTCCACTGGGGCATTCTGTCTTCAAGTAATATTGAAGGCATAGCTTTCACAGAATTTTTCTTAGATGTGAAGTTATTTCATGTCAGGTGGGAACATTTTTGGGAAGTTGTTTTCTACATAGTGTCCTTGGTCTGCAGCTTCCCAAAAGTCCTAACACTGTATTCTTAACTTTAAGAGATAGCTACCAAATTTTTAAAAATCATACTTTAGTGAGTAGTCTTTTACCTGAATGTTTCCTCTTGGAGCTGTTCTAACTGAGTCTGAAGCTGCAGATGCCTTCTTCCTGCTGGACTGTTAGGATCTTCTATAGAATCAGATTGATTAAGTCTTTCCATTAATACCTGATTCTCTGCCAACAGACTGCTTTTCTCCTCTTGCAGTGCTGCAACCTGTTAGAATATAGGAAGACAGCAGTTATTTCTTCCAGTTACACTGGAGTTGGCATAATCACTGTAAATTACCATTATAAATTAACCTCTTTCCACCCCCCACCCCACCCCCACCTTCCCTCTGTTTTTAAAAAGTACAATCAATCTCCACTTAAAACATTTACATTATTTTAGAATATTGTACAGGCACAGTAATATGTAAGAATAAGCAAGAATTCATTATTTTATATCTGAAAAGACAGTAAAAAGATATATAGATGGCAACTAAGCACACAAAAAGATAATCATGATTAGTCATCAGGAAATGCAAATTAAAACCACAATGTTATACCAATATACTCCGACTAAAATGGTTAAAATTAAAGACTGGCTGTACCAAGTGTACAAATGGAACCCTCATTTGTTTTAAGGGCTTTGGAAAATGGTTTTGCATTTTCCTAAAAAAAAATTTAAACATGCAACTACCACATGACCCAGACACTCTACTCCTAGGTATTTACTTAAGAGAAATAAAACCATGTGTCCAACCAAAGACTTATACAAAATGTTTATAGCAGCTTCTTGTGTAATAAAGAAAAACTGGAAACAACACAAATATTCATAAGCAAATGAATGGATAAATAATATATATCCATACAACAATATTATTTTGCAGTAACAAAGAATTAACTATTGATACTCACAACATGAATAAATCTCAAAATAATGAAAGAAGTCAGACCAAAAAAAAGCAGTACACGCTGTATTATTCCTTTTATATACAATTCTCGAAGATACAAGCTAATTTATAGTAACAGAAAGCAGAGTTGGGGACTGGAGGGGATTATGAAGAGTCATGAGGAACTCTGGGGAGTGATGGGTTCATTATATTGATTGTGGTGATTTCACATGTTCATACATATGTCAACATGCATCAAACTTGTACATTTTTTTCCCCATTTTATTTTTCAAAATTTTATCTTTATTGTTGAAAGTATTACAGATGTCCCCCCTTTTCCCCATTGACCCCCTCCACCCCACAACTCCCTCCCCTGCAAAGCCTTCACTACACTATTGTCTGTGTCCATGGGTTATGCATACATGCATATAAGTTCTTTGGTTAATCTCTTTCCACCCCCCACCCCACCTTCCCTGACTGAGATTCGTCAGTCTGTTCCAAGCTTCTATGTCTCTGGATCTATTTTGTTCATCAGTTTATTTTGTTCATTAGATTCCACATATAAGTGAGATCATGTGACACTTATCTTTCTCTGACTGGCTTATTTTGCCTGGCATAAATACATTTTAATATGAGTAGTTTACCATATGTCAATTACATCTCAGTACAGCTGTAAAAACAAAAGTGGCCTACCTTTCCTAATTCTCCCTTTCCATCACCCGTTTCCTTCTGAACTTGTTCTAGCTGTACTATTGGCCCTACCATTCCACCAAAACTGCTCATCAGGATCACTACTGACTTCCATGTCACTATGATCCACCAAGACACAACCGATCACACACTCCTCTTTGAAGTATTTTCTTCACTTGGTTTCTAGGACACCTTACACTCCTGGTTTCTGTATTAACTCCCTAGTACCTTCTCTTTCTCCTTAGTCAATTCCTCTTCATTTCCCTGCCATTAGAGTAGCCCACAGCTTTGCTTTTCTAAATAGAGTGATGGCTTCCAGTTTCATGGCTGTAAGCACCACTCATTCACTGGCAACTCGCACATTTCTATTTCTAGCCTGGAACCCTGACCTGGATATCATTTCTACTTAGATGTCTAATAGGCATCTCAAATTTAAATTGTCCAAGCTGAACTCTTAATTACTGCCCCCCACCCCTCCTTCCAGTCTTTCCCATCTCAGTAAAGTGTAACTCTGTCCTTCTAGTTGCTCAGTCATAAGCCTTAACATCTTTCCATCACACCACATCCAATCTGTCAGCAAATATCATCGGCTCTACCTTCAAACATATTTTGACCACTTCTCACCAGCCCTAAATTCTGATGACCTAAGCCGACATAATTTTTTGTCTGGATTAATGCAATGACCATTTAATTAGTCTCCTTGATTTGGCCCTCTCTTCCCTACAGTCTATTCTCCACACAGCAAAACAAGCACACTCCATTAAAACAAACTCAGTTCACAGGACTTTGCTTAAAATTCTCCAACGGCTTCCCATTTACTCAGTCAAAGTCCTTACAAAAGCTTACAAGGCATCTCCAGACTGATTTTCTCTTTCCACACTCAGTTCCACTCCTGCCACCCTCACCTTCCTACTGATCCCGAGTAAACCAGCCACACTCGCACCTCAGGCCTGTGCTCAGCCTGTAATGCTCTTCCGGGGAATCTGGGAGGCTTGCTCCTATGACCTCGTTAGGACTTTACTGACACATCACCCTCTCTGGTGCACCTGTATTGACAACTCAGTTTAAAACCACTAACTCCTCCTACCCTGGACTCCTTATTCTACCCTTTCTGCTTTATTTTTCTCTAGAATACTTATCACCACTTAAGACTATATTCTTCTTTTGTTTACTGTCTGTCTTTCCCACTAGAATGTAAACACCTTGGGGGCAGGAATATTTTACCTATTTGTCTATTCCCCCTACCCCCATCTTCACTGTATCTACAGCAACTAGAACAGTGGTACATAGTAGGTGCTCATATGTCTATTGAATAAATGAATGAATCTGAAATGCCAGCTCTATAATTTATCAGATTTCCATAAATGCATGAGTCTTTTCTTAGAATAGAGCTATGGCTGGATTCTACGTAACTGGTCTATTTCATTCATTTCTGCTCTTTCATTCTTTTTTATTTTTTTTATTTTTAAAAATATATCTTTATTCATTTCAGAGAGAGGAAAGGAGAGGGAGAGAGAGAGATAGAAACATCAATGATGAGAGAGTCATTGATCCTACAGGCCCCCAACTGGGGATCGAGCCCGCAGCCCAGGCATTTGCCCTGATGGGGAATCGAACCCTGATCGCCTGGATCCTAGGTCAACGCTCAACCGCTGAGCCATGCCCATTCTTCTTTTTTAAAGAAACATTTAAAGCTTAAAAACTTAAATTTTTAAAAACTCTTTTCTTTGCTACTAATTTCTGACTTTAATTGCATCTTGGTCACAGAGCGTAATCTAAATACACAGATTTTTTGAAATTTTATTAAGAACTGCTTTGTAATCTGATATATGGTCAGTTTATAAGAAGACTAAGTGAGCAATGCAAAACTTTAATACTAGACTTATCAAACTAGCATATGCTGCTAAAATATTTTAATTCAATATTTTTGGCAGAATTCCTTTTCACAAACACAGAAAAAGGAGACTAATTAAAAATAATACATACACATGATTTAAGCAAAAAATCAAACAAGACAAAGAGGCTTATATGAAAAGCTACAGTTTCCTGTTAAGATTTCCCAATCCTAAGAGATAACTAGTTTTAACTGTTCTAAATTCTATTGCTTTCAGTACTTTACATCTCTTAATAATATGTTATACATCACTATTTCTTGATTTATCAACCTTAGACAGTATCTAGTGACTCTCCCTCTAACAAGTTAAATTATAGCAATTTGTGTCATCTCTCCACAAATATAGTCCCATCACTATTCTCACTTCCTTCACTGGTCACTTCTGCAATTTTAAACAACTACTCACTGCCTCATTTCACTCAATTATCCACCATTCATTCACTCACTCAAATACTCATTGTGTGGCTACTACATGCTAGGCACGGTTGCAATTTTCTACGTGCAAGTCATACTGTGATGAATAAAGCAGAGAAAGTTCTTATTCCACAGAATGGTTATATATTCAAAACAAATCACAGTAAATAACAAACAAAATATATTAAGTAAACCAATAAATAAATGCAAAAACGAGAGTGAAAAAGTGCTATGCAGAGGGGTAATGTAAGAATGACATGAGAGTCTGGATGATTACTTAGATTGGCTGACCACAGAAGGACTTCTCAAGGAGGCTTAATTTAGTACTTGGCACGTCTAAGTGCCCAATAAATATTTTATGACAAATAAATCAGGTGATTTTGAGTTGAGATTGAATGACAAGCAGCAGCCAGCCATGTAATGACTCTCTTCTTGGAAAGATAAGAACATTAGTGGCCCTCCCCTTCCCTCAACGCTTCTGGACGATTCTAATTCTCAATCTCTATCATCTGTACCTTTATTTTATAATAACATTTCTCTACAAATCAATCTTAAATGTTGAAAATCAATAAAGTTTACATTGGAGGTCACATTGTGACTGTGTTCTACTGTTTTCTGCAGAGCTAAGTGTGTTATAGGGCTACCCTTTTTCTTCTCACAACTTCTCTGCAACCCTGCCATTCACTTTGAAATCTGTCTATACCAGTAAACTAAGGGTTCCTTTTGACTTTGATTAAATTTAGTTTTAAATCCTAGTTTTAGAAATCATAGCCCTCTCCCTCCCCCCAAATATATATATCCCTCAGAGACCTAGCCTTTCCCTTGATAATCAGCAACCCCTGAGATAGCAGAAGACAACAGCCTGGACCTAACTAATAGTCACACGGTCTGGACTTCTGGTAGGCTAAAGATAATATCTTGACCTAAATTATGTTTCAGCTCCTGAGCCCTAAGGTAGAATGACCTCCTGGCTACTTTCCCATGAGACTAGACGGAGGGAGCTAGAAAAGACCTCAGCACCGTCCTTAAGGCCTGAAGAAATAATTACCCTTACCTCACCTCTGACCAATCATTTCCAAGCAAAAACTCTAAACTGCAGTATCTGTGATTTTGCCCTATATAATTTGTAATATACATGCTATAGGGGAGTTGGATTTTTAGAGCATAAGCTCCCTGTCTCCATATTAGCCAATTAAATATTAAACTATTTTTTCTTTCTATACTGCAAACTTCTGTTCATGTATTTCTTTGGGCCAGTGCAAGCAGGCAGGTGGGTTCAAGGAAAAACACTGTGGTTCTGGTAACACCAGGGATTCACAAACATTTTTGTAAAATATCAAACAGTGAATATTTTAGACTTTGAGGACCATAGTTCTCTGTGGCAGGTACTCAACTCTGTTACTGTAACATGACAATGGCCACCGACAACATATCAATGAATGAGTGTGGCTGTGCTACAATAAAACTTTACTTATAAAAACAGATGGAAAGGCCCTGGCCAGGTTGCTCAATTGGTTAGTGTTGTCCTGATACTCCAAGGTTGCAGGTTCAATCCCCAGTCAAGGCACATACAATAATCAACCAATGAGTGCATGAACAAGTGGAACAACAAGTTGATGTTTCTCTCTCTCTCTCTCTCTCAAATCAATAATAATAAAAAGATAGCAAAGCTGTAGTTTGCCAATCTGTGTATAACTTTAATTTTATATTATCAAAGATAGTATTTATACTTTGCTTATAAAATTAACTCTTTTTATTATAACTCTTGACATTTATGTAGAGTTAAATTCTAAAATTTAAAAGGCAATAGCACTTACGTTATGACTAAATATTATTTACTATATAACCTGTGTGTACTTTGTTTACACTACTTCCTATATACATCCAAAGCAATGACCAACTCCTATGCCTTTCAAAGTAAAATGCTTCTAGTATAAAATATTATGTACTCTGTGTACCCATTACCTAGCTTTAACAAGTGTCAAAACATGGTCAATTAACCTGGCCAATCTGACTCAGTGGTTGAGTGCTGACCCATGAACCAGGAGGTCATGGTTCAATTCCTGATCGGGGCACATGCCAGGGTTAGGGGCTCGATTCCCAGTAGGGGGCATGTATGAGGCAACTGATGGATGATTCTCTTTCACCATTGATGTTTCTCTCTCTTTCTTCCTCTCCCTTCCTCTCTCTGAAATTACTAAAAACATATTTTAAAATACACACAACATGGTCAATTATGTTTAATCCATACCTCGACACCCCCCTGCACCTCCCTGATTTTGAGGTGATCCCAGACAAATTTTATTTGTGAGAAATTTCAACCTTTATCTTTATTCTATTGAATTTTTATTTTGGCAATTCTATTTTAAATTTACTTACATGTTTCCTTTTCTTTCTTTTTTTTAAATATATCTTTATTGATTTCAGAGAGAGGAAAGGAGAGGCAAAGAGAGAGATAGAAACATCAATGATAAGAGAGTCATTGATAGAGCCCATAACCCGGGCATGTGCCCTGACCGGGAATCGAACCCTGATCTCCTGGATCCTAGGTCGATGCTCAACCGCTGAGCCACACCCGGCGGGGCTACATGTTTCTTGATCTCTATTTTTTCCTTTTTAAAATAGTATCTTGTCCTTCTTTTACAGATAACATATCACTAATTTTACAGGCAGCATTAAATAGATTAAAAGGGAAAAATCTCTTCAACTACCTCAAATTCTCCACTTCCTCTATGATTACTTTCCTCTTTATCTAGATCCTTTTATTTTTTGTTATGCAGATTTCTCTCACATATTTAGAATTAGTCAACAGCAAGGGTATCTAGAAGCTATATATGAACATAGGCTTCATTTTAGGACTTTATCTATAAGAAGTTGGCCTTTATGTAAGTTATAGAACTCTGGAGAAAAAAAATGAAAAGGCCCTCATCCTGCAATACTAACACTCTGTCTAACCTCCCTATACTTCCAATTTCTTTAGAAAAAACCCTCTGACTGGGAAGCTGGGTAAAGGTCATTCTACATGCAGTGGGTGACAAGGTTTGATGGGGCTTAACTCTTCTATATAAAACCTCTAGTTGAAACCTCACCCAGACTTCCCTCTGACCTGTGTTCTCCCTGGGGTTCTGCTACAGCAGCTCCTTCCTTTCTCCCCCCGAGTTCTTCTTGGCCACTACATTCTTTACTCCTTTTAGCCATTCAGGACTTTTCCAACTGCCTATCTGGCTTTCAGAGATTGGTGAAGACTGGTGGTATTTGGTTGCTAGCTATAACCAAGCTGGTGGTTAAATATTCAGGAAAGGAAATTAATATACTTGTTCAGTCTATCTTTAATCAGAAATCTGTTTTCCTTTTCTTTTCTTTAACTAGGGTTGCACTACAGACAAACTGTACTGCAGGGCAGGACATAGTATGTTTTGTGGTATTTACAGCGGTATATTTCAAACAGGTGGTACACAGGACAGGCCTCTTACCTGCATATCCAACTCATGGCATCGTTGAGCAATTTCTTCCTTGGCTGACAAAGCTTCATTTAGCTCCTCTGTAGTTTTCTTCAACTGGTTAGAAGCAAAGAGATGCAATAAGCATTTCAATATTAAATGGCAACAATTAATAATTATATTTGTACAATATGGAATTAAACATTATCCCCCTTTTCTTTCTGCAGGACAGGAAGAAATCAAAAACCCTCTGTGCAAGAGTCAAAAGAAGGAGCTTCTAACTTTGAATATCTTTTAGTCCTAAATCTTGTCCTTTCTGTACTTTGAATTTGGTTCTTTCTGCATATCAAGTTTTCTTACACATCTTCTATCTGGGCTACTTGGTTGACTGCAATGACTGAGAAATTTTACCTTAGTAAAATATGTACGTGCTAGAGGACGTGGTTTTCAAGTGTTAAAATATATAACTAGTGTATTTCAATATAAGTGCTTTAGTCATATTAAACCTTTATGTTAATTTGTATATCAGTTTTAAAATAAAATACTTTTATTATTGTGATCCTCAACACAAAGCAAACATTCCCAAGTTGTGTCCCATTATTATATAAACTCTAAGTTAGCACAGTATGAACAAATTAATTACAACTAGTTTAATCAATTTTTAAGAAGAAAAAGTGGATTAAAATAAAATTATATTGGCTTCTCATTTCATGTGACCAAACCTCTGTGTAATATAAATACAAAAAAATGCATTCAGAGTAACAACTTTAAAACCAAACATACCATAAAGTAAGGGAAAGACAAATTACAACTTGGGTTAAAATTATAGCATATCCAAAGATTTTCCTGCAAAGCATTTAGAAACTATGGGGAAGAAATGAAAGAAGACAAAGGCCACAAAGATTTCTGTTCATGCTTTGCAACAGATGTTCCAGAATAGCTGGAACACAGAAACTGACAATGTAACTAACTGCATTTTATTAAAAACAATAATTAAAATTATAAATTAACTTTTCCGTTAAAGTCATAAAAATACATTACTAAGTTCTTAGTGCATTTACTATGAAGTGTTGAAGAGACATCTTCAATTGAAGAATAATGTGAAATAAAATTTAAACTATCTTTTTATCATAAGTAAATCATAAGATTATTTATACCAATGGAAAATGCATGCAATTTTCCAGAGAAGCACCTATTGTGTTAAATGTGGTAAACAGAAAGATATCACTAATAGAAAAAGAAAAACCTGAACTAGAAAACACAAATTACAAAAACTTAAAGAAGTTAACTTATTTATGTGGACTATGCAACAATACTTTATTTACAAAATACAAATTTAATTACAAATGTGTAATATCCGTAAGTAAAGTGGCTTAAGTTCTTAAATTTTTGGTAAAACAAAGAATTTTACCAATATATTCCATAAGCAATTTCAACTGAATCATCCTTTTCATTAACATTTAAACGATCCTTTTCAATCTTTGCATGGATAAAAACAATGCAAAATTAGGTACCTGGCGATCAAGGTCAACATAGGCATCATTTCCAGCAGAGACAGGAGATTCTTTACTCATCAACTGAAATTAAGATTGGAATGATTATAACTATGAGGCAAAAAAGACATTCTACATAATATACTCACACAACACACATAACACCCAGCCACTACAGAATTATAAAAATGAACATGAAAACATATATGTAAAAGGAATATTTTCTTATACATCAAAGCTTTACGGTCTGGAACTTTGTTTTCCACTCCAAGATGATGCCTTCATTTAAAATTGCTGGTCTCAATTCTGATGCTCATTTTCTCTGCAGGCCCAGGCACAAGAATCAAATATTACTTATTCTTATCACTCAAAAGACAAGTTTTTAAGTTTAAATATTTAAAAACATAGACTTAAATAAAATAAAAACATGGACTTTTCAGTAAAAATGGCAACACTAAGTATTTCTGAAGAATAAATGTGGGCCGCCCAAGCCGGTTTGGCTCAGTGGTTAGAGCGTCGGCCCTCGGACTAAAGGGTCCTGTGGTTCCATTCTGGCCGAGGGCTTGTACCTGGGTTGCAGGCTCGATCCCTGGCCCCGGTTGGGGCCCGTGCGGGAAACAACCAATCAATGTGTCTCTCTCACATTGATGTGTTTCCCCCCCCTTTTTACTTTCTCTGAAACGCAATAGAAAAAATATCCTTGGGTGAGGATTAAAAAAATAAAAAATAAATAAAATAAATAAATGCGGGCGGGAAAAGCCCAAATTGAATGGATAAACAAAATGCAGTATATTCATACAACAGAATATTATACAGCCATAAAAAAGAACAAANCCCTTTTTACTTTCTCTGAAAAGCAATAGAAAAAATATCCTTGGGTGAGGATTAAAAAAATAAAAAATAAATAAAATAAATAAATGCGGGCGGGAAAAGCCCAAATTGAATGGATAAACAAAATGCAGTATATTCATACAACAGAATATTATACAGCCATAAAAAAGAACAAAATATTGATATATGCTACAACACAACCTTGAAAATATTATGCTAAAAGAAAAAAGCCAGGCACAAAAGGGCACATCCAATGGTTCCATTTAAATGAAATATCTAGACTAGGAAAATTCTATTTTTTAATCTATATTTTATTTTATTTTTTTATCTATATTTTATTAATCTGTATTTTATTTTTACATTTATAGTTTTGTTTTACATTTGCTGAAGTTCAGGACATGCTACTCCAAAATACGGCACGTTGGCATATAAAATATCTCAAACTGAAGAAATGTGAGAAACAGTGGATATGGGAAGAATTTTCTGACCTTCCCCTGAAGCAGGTCATGAGACCCTCATGTGAGAGGTGCCCTTTCTGTACTCAGAGGAAAGGAGCATCCTTATTTCCAAAGACAGACAGACGCTGAAAGGAATCTGAGTGAACAGGACTTGCTGTTTCCCTGTTTACTACACTTAGCTCAGGCCCTTTTGTCCTATTACATTTTTCCACGAATCTCCACTCTTCATGAAACCTAGCATCACAACATCCAGGTTTAAATATCTCTTTGGTCTTAATTTCCTTATGAAGACTTCTGTGTCATATAAAACTTGTATTAAATAAATTTGTATGTTTTTCTCTTGTTAATTTGTCTTTTGTCATAGAGGCTCCAGCAGAGAACTTGGAAGGGTAAAGGAAAAATATATTTTCCCCTCCCCTATAGTTTCAACATAAATAGAAATTACTTTGGGTCCAGTTGGAGCTGAAGACCCATTTTCTGCCAAACAAGAAACCAACAGTTAAGTATAAGGTAGACTGTTGGTTTAAGACAGAAATTGTTTATATTGGCTTGAGGAATTAGTCTACAACTCCGAGTTCATTAGGGCAAGATAAATATTTAAGATTTAAATAAAACTGAGAAATTTAAATGAGTACGATTTTCTTAAATAAAAATGAAATAAGCTATATCATGGGCATAAAGAAAACATTTTTTAAATGAGAAGAATCTCTTTTTTAGAATTCCTACTATTATTTAGACTCATGCTTGCTCCTTTACTTTCTCACAAACTGTAAGCACAAAGCTCCAACGCACCTCTTGAATGGCTGTCATGACAACATGTTGAACAGATTCTTCCATCATCATGATGGCCTGGATGTACTCTGAAAACAAGAACAATCTGGAATGTCACTGTTCAAGTTAAAGAGAGTCAAGGGAGTAAAAGTGAACCATGAATTCTTATAAGTAATTTCCAGTGTTTTGATTCTTCCTAGGCATTCCTCAGACATGGCATTCCTTTACATATGTGCCATAGGTAGAGGCTGTAAATAACAGTATTTATCTTCCCTTAATATATCACCCAATCCACCCCAACCATTCCTTATAAAGTTGAAGCTACAGCTAACAGTCACAGGAATGTAGGCTCCTAGGAATGTAAAACAATGAAATGGTAGAGCCTAAAACCATGGTAGAAAAAAAACTACATAGTATTACTATTCTTAAAATCTAAAAATTTTCTCATTATTCTTTGCTACGTTAAAAAACCCTGTAGTCTGTGCTTTATTCTTATGTGACATCAAAGCACTGAATTGTGTATAATTCCAACATGAATATTTTCTACTATAGGAAAAAGAAAAATTTTAATAGACCTGAGGCCTGCTTAGGAGAAAGAATTAAGATAAATTTAAGATAGAAACTGATACCATAAGTAAATATTGGTTAACCCTGGGCTTTAAAATAATGATTCACATCTCTAATAAGCTCAAGCACCAACTTAATCAATCTTACCCTCACTACTGCTGAAAATGAAAAGGATCTCTTCACTCAGTAGTGACAAAGTTGAAAACAAAAAGTCTCGCCTTCTAAAAAAGTCCTGGAAGTAGTTTATACCATTTTCAAATCCAACAATGGATGACAAAAATGACATTAAACATTAAAAAAAAAAAATCAATAGGCAGCTGGATTCCAACAAATACGATAAATATGTTTTAATAAGAAACATTTAAAAGGGTAAAATAATTAGGAAATTTTAGCCTCAATCTGCCACACATCTAAAAACAAACAGCAAAAACTTGTCTCAGCATTCCAAGTGTCATCTGAAGGAGTCTTACTGTGAAATTGTTAAAGTGACCTTTTGGCAAGAGACTCATATCTTTGGAATGCCAAACTGTAATCCTTTGCTTGACAGGTAACTTGTTAAAAAAAAAAAATTGATAGCACTATTAAATTACGACATTCTGACATTCTGTTTCTGAATGCTAAAGGCTTTAATAAAAAACATGTTTTTAAAGAAGTATTGTCCTAAGGACACTTTATACCCAATCAAATGTGTGGTTAAACATAAATATACACATCACACTTAAATCACAGGCATTGTTCTTAGGCCAACAATAAGAACACATCATAACTTAACCCACTATTTAGTAAAAAACAAACAAATAAAACCAAGTCCTTTCATCTAAGTTCAATTTTTTGTTCTGTTAATGAGGAGCAGGCAATTACTGCTGAAATGTAAGGGAGAGCTTTTAGATACTCTGTTGAGAGGTACCAAACACAGAATTCCAAGGCTACTGGAGAAAATGGCACAGCTAGAGTGAACTGAACAACCCTAAGATAAAGCACTGTGAACATGGAAGAGCAGCAGCAGTGGCGCTGACAGTGGGGAGGGAGAACTTAATGGCAGCCTGCAGGGAGCGAAGAAGATAACAGAGTAGGGAGGTCAGGAAGCTATTAGTAAGGTGCGAGAGGGGAAGCGTTAGTTAAGAAGCGGTGTTGCCACGTCAAGGCCCTTCCCCGAGAACACCGTAAAATGCTAAATGATCAAATGATGATGAGAACTACACTAATGTACGGGTGTTGAAAACTAAAAAGATAACTTACAAATCTCAGAAGTGCAAATGCTTATGTGTGGTTTCTGGTGCAGAGCTGGGAGGCAATGCTGAAGAACCAGGTGTGCTTGCTACGTCTGGGAGCTGATCCTGGAAACTTATCTTTTAGGTCCAAATTTATAGCACAGTTTAACATAAAGAGTATTAAGTCTGAACGTGGAAGAAATAGGGGTTTTTGCCCTTACCTAGCCTCTCACAAGCCAAAACTCCTGGGTAAGTCATATAATACTTATGAGTCTTAGCTCCAATTTGAGAAGTCAGATAGCCAAGATAAATGTATGTTAAGTCAATTGTTCCTTACTTCTAACTGAAGAAATCATCTAATATAAAGCCCTGGTTTTAGGATAGTACTTTATGGATTACAAGGCAAATACCCGTCCACAATATCACTCACTCCTCATGACTACCAGGTTTGGTATGCTCACTCTGTAGACAGGGAAACAGGCTGAGTGTCTTGTTCAATGTTGGTCAGGTAGTAAATGGCAGAGCCACTTCAGTAAGCCTTACATTAATATCATAAATGTACAGTGACAGGTAATACTTAACAATTCAGAAATTCATTTAACTTAATTCTTAGCTCTCAGCTGTGTTCCAGAGAGCAGAGAATGACCTCTGGATAAGTGAGATATTAAAATCCTGTTCAAAGTTTTCATCATTTATATATAACTTCAGGGGGAAAAAATGAAATTAGGTTTCAACACTTGATCTGTGTGGGAAGCTTGATAAATATAATAGTCTTCTTTTCCACAGGACTATGGATATAGGTAACATCCTTGTCTTTTCCAGTTCTTACCCTCTAATAAATATGATTTGCCAACTCATAACAGCTACACACTTCCAAGGACCCTTATATACTAAGGATAATCCCATGAGTTGATGAATCTCCTTACAGAATAAATACATAAGCAGCTATTATCTGAATTCAATGAACTACATTAAATAATTTTTCATCCATCTTTTAAAAATCAAAGCATCTACTTAGATATTTAAAATGTCTTTAATCTTATTATTTATACCAATGTTCTAATCTTTGACAAAAACTTGTTCGATATTTCAGTAACATACAAAAATCAAAATGGAGAAAGTTCTCTATTTTAATCCTTGAGTTAAACTAAATAAACAAGCTAAAATTTCCTGCAAGAGCACAGCATGCTAAAATTAAAATCTAAAAGGAAAGGGGCTAGAGAGAAATACATTGTTAGAAAAACTTACTGAATCAGAAACCAATAAAACTATCCATAGCTTTAAAGAAAACAATGTTCACTGTTATTAAACTTAGAACTAGAACACCAAAAAAAGTACAGACAATAAGTTAATAAAAATCTGTTTTGTATCACCAGAGGTGGGGTACAACAAAGAAGAAAAATACCTTTGGGCTTAAAAAAGAAAATCCAGCCCGGCCATTGTGGCTCAGCAGTTGAGCACAGACCTAGGATCAAAGAGATCACGGTTTGATTCCTGGTCAGGGTATATGCCCAAGTTTTGGGCTCGATCCCCAGTGGGGTGTGTGCAGGAGGCAGCCAATAAATGACTCTCTCATCACTGATGTTTCTCTCTCTCCCCCTCTCCCTTCCTCTCTCTGAGATTAATAAAGATTTTTAAAAAAAGATAATCCTTCTCCTTCAAAGGTCATGTAAACAGCAGTAAAATACTGTGCCAGCATCACGTAGACTTGTCCCTATCTACCTTTGTCCCACTTCATTTCACCTCCCCTATCCTCCTCATTATTCTCTAATTGTTGTTGTTTAAATCCCTCAAAGGAACCTAGGCCTTTCCGACATTCAATGTCTGCTATTCTCCATATCTTTGCTTAATAACTTCCCAGAAGCAAGCCTAGGCTGTCCCCTAACACAGCACTAACCACTACTCAGCATGCCTAGTTCTGTATGGCATTATTTATTGCCCTCACCTCCACTCAAGCACAAGTTCCATGAGGGAGAGTGCCCTACCTGCTATGTCTGACATTGTGTTCCCAGCATAACACATGAGTTCAGCAAATATCTGTAAAATCAATCCTTCATACTTGCAATCTAAAATATCTAATTTTAAGTCCTAAGAGCTGAACTGATCCAGTATATAATTCTTATTTATATTAATTAATTAAGCTGGACCTTATCCAATTAAGAGTAAATCTCATCACATCTGGTGTAAAAATAAGCTACTCAAAAAATTATGTAGTCCTGCAGAAACGGAAAGAATATCATCACAATCAAATTTATTCTGACTTGTAAAAACTCTTTTAAGCTTGAAAACAACAAAAATAAAGAAAATGGCATTCTCTGAGGATAGCCTTTAAAAGATATATAGTTTGTACTGGTGATTTATAAATAAAATATACAATATATATCATTTTAGATATACTATTAAAGATATATTGTATATTTATTTATAAATACACATTTATATATATCACTATATATTTTTATATATTTTATATTATTTTTCTATTATTTTAAATGCATACACTAACTATAAATAAATTACCTTGCTTCTGCTCACAATTCACAGCACAACCTAAAATGAGTTGAAGCATCCTTCCAAGCTCTGCAGCATCAGAATGCTCTCCAATAAGGTTCACATCAGGAAGGGTGAAGTCATTAATTTGCTGCCCTAAAATCTGAATGGAGATAAAAGATTAGAATTGCATTTACATTTCTACAACCAAATAAAGTATCTGACAGAGACTACATTGTTAGCAACAGAAACTCACTGCTAAGGACAGAGCAGTCATGTCAATCTCACTCCCAAGTTCTATTTTTTACCTTCCATACACCTAAGTTATAACTATGCTGAGTCACAGCAAGTTAGGCCCTAATCTGGTAGGTGGTGTGTACACTTAGCAAAGAAACTGAGTACTCCATCCCCACCCAGAAGAACTGGATGTGTATTCTTCGAAGAAGTAGAGCCAGTGAGGTTCTGATCCAGGGGGCACCAGAAAGAATGGAGATTAAATAAAGGTTCATGTCCCCAATGGTAAGACTCCTCCTAGTCACCTTCACCTTTTTGATTCCAGAATGCTAAGAGTAAGAAACCTGTATCAGAAAGAAGAATGGAAGATTCCTTTATGGGGAAACTAAGTCCCAAGGGAAATGACTTACATGCAGACAAATGGATAGGTCTCTGACTGATAACCCTACAGTGAAAAACGAAGATCCTAAAGTCAAAGAAGCAGGATGAATGCAGCTGCAGTATTATGGGTTAGGGGAGAGCAGTGTAAGAGAAAGTTAGAGGGGTCATGCAGTACCTGTTGGCTCACGGTAAGAAGGAAGGATCTGATTCTCAATGTATTAGAAAATCATAGAAGACTTTGAGAAGAGAGTGACATAATCAAATTTATATTTTTAAAAATCATACTGGCTTTAAAGTGGAGAACAGATTGCATAGGGGCAAGAGTGAAATCAGGGTCAGGAGTTAGACCACTCTAGTAATCTAAGAAAGAACTAATAATGATGGCTTGGTGTAGGGTGGTGGCAGTAGACACTGAAAAAGCTATAATTTGGAGGCTTAACTAATAGGTCTTACTGATGATATCAAAAGAAGGAAAGGACTAGCAGGTGATTTGCAGGTTTTGGGCTCGAGCAGTAGGGTGGATGGCAGTCACATACTGAGATGATGAAGGTAGATGTTTAAGTATAGATGTAGGTATAAATGCAGGTAAGCTTGTGGGGAAAAAACCAGTAAGGAAATCACATATGTTTCTAGGCAGAGTTGTGTCCCTAGAATTTTAAAGTAAAACTAGTTCTACTACAGCCTGATTTCCCCTACCCCCCAGCAATGTCTGGACTGTTCTGATGCAGCTCAGAGGATAAACTGAGCTAATCAAGGGAGGGCGGTTTGCTGAGGAATACAATGGAAGTAGGTAAGGGAGTTGATTATAATAATGCATGGACTGTAAACTACATTTACAAGTGAGGGAAGAAAGCAGAAAATTAATAGATAGCAGAAAGTCAAGTTTAAGATAAATTAGTATTTAGCTACAAACTACCCATATTATAGTGAAAGCTATTTAACTAGTAACCATCTAAGAGATGGTTGTTTGAACCACATCCTAGAAACTATACAATGGAAGATAAACTGATTATTAATTTTGAGGAAATTTTTCCTTTACTTGAAAGTATTGTAAAATATTATACAATCAAACTATAGTAATATTTCCATGCAGAATAAGAAAAAAGTCCTTACCTCATGATTATAATCCAGGATTCCTTTTAAAATTTTCTTTAGATTACTTATCTGTTTAAAGAGAAAGAAAACAAATGGGTAAAAGGCAACTACAGATCAAAAGGCAAACACAGTTTTAAAAAAAATTTCTAAATCAACTTATCAATCAAGTGAATCATAAAGTAAAACAAAATTCAATAGCATATTTAAATTACCATCATCATCAAAAAAGAACTCCCGATGGCCTAATTTATTTAATCTAAGAAATTTAGGTAACAAATTGAGCTTCCAATAATGTTAGATTTTCAATGTTATGACCACTGGCAAAAACTGGACGGTAACTGTGTAAGATTTAACAGTAAGATTAAATTATTCAGATTTTCTGCAGCTAAAGAAAAAATGTACCATCCTTAATGAAGACCTGAGTTCAGCCTGGCTGGGCATGGCTCAGTGGCTAAGCATTGACCTGGGATCCAGGAGATCACACTTCAATTCCCGGTCAGGGTATATGCCCAGGTTGCTGGCTCCATCCCCAGTCGGGGGTGTGCAGGAGGCAGCTGATCAATGACGACTCTCACATCACTGATGTTTCTCTCTCTCTCTCTCCCTCTCTCTTGCTCTCTTTGAAATCAATAAAGATATATTTAAAAAAAAAAAGACTTGAGTTCAGTGCTGTTTTCATAGAAAAGTAGAGTTGCATCTTACATAGAAAAGTAGAGTTGCATCTTACATAGAGGTTAAGTTCTACGGGTAAAAGCATTGGGCAAAAATTATAGTCAAAATTACCCTTAGAAATCTCTTAAACTAACCTACAACATCTGTCTCCAAATTCCTCCACTGTCAGAAAATACTGCTGTTTCTTCATTTGAGCACCAAAGTAAATATTTAAGAGCCAGAAGGTTTAAAAAAGTACTGTTATATCTTGAAACACTAGGATAACACTTCACATTGCAAGATACTTGTGCTATAAGAAGCAACCTAGAAACAGACAGGACGAGGGACCAACATACAAATGTCTCCCAACACTCACCCACTCCAGAGAACAGGCTGACTGGCCATATGTTATCTGGATGTAATGACAGGCAGAATCACCTGCACTATTTATTATAAGCCATTATTTTTCCCCTCTATTTTTTTACCCAATTCATATGGTTGCATGTGTGTTAAGTGAAATGTGTATGTGATATGATTCTGTTCATCATCTACCTGCTGTTCCTAAGCCAATGTCAGTAGCTGAGGATGTCCTAGGACAGAAGACAGTAGAGCCTGCGGCTATCAAATAAAAAAGGCTGAATCACAGCAGTGTGTCCAATGGTTAACCACAGACATTTTTAAGAAAGAAATAAACTGAAAACTTTATTTTAAAAAATTTCATAAATAAACAAACGTTTATACTTCTAAAAAGATTTGGAGACATGGAAAATATATAATATACTTTATTTCCTTTATTTTAGTAGGTTCATTTTTTCATATTTGAACATTTAAATCAGAATGCCTTAAAAGTCAATGTGTTCATTGGCCCTGGCCGGGTAGCTTAGCTGGTTAGAGCATCATCCTGATACACCAAGGCTGTGGGTTCAATCTCCGGTCAGGGCACATATAAGAATCAGCCAATGAATGCATAAATAAGTGGAACAACAAATCAATGTTTCTTTCACTCTCTAAAAATCAATCAATAAAAAAATTTTAAGTAAATGTGTTCATTTAAAATGTTTCCCAATATTTCCTCATTATTAACACTAACAACTACCACTACATATTCCATGCGCTATCCTAAGTACATTACATACATTAATTCATTTATTTCTATAAGGTGGATCCTATTACAATCCGCATTTCACAAATGAGGAAACTGAGGCAGAGAAAGGTTAAAAGACTGTCCCACAGATAGCAAATGGCAGAGATGTGATATGCACGCAGGTGCTCTGGCTCTAGTCGCTGTCCTCAGTCACTATGCTTCACTAATTTACATTACACCTCGGTGAACCATATCAGATTAGCTCTAATCTTCAATTCTAGGTTATTTCACTGAAGACTGCCTAAGTTTCTAAAGCTCACTGGCCACATCTGATAAAAAAAAAAAAAAATCAACAAATACTATATACACACAAGTAAAAGATTAATTTACAGATAGAAAAATAAAAAGAAAATACCTTTAGCCTCCAATTATCTCCCACTTCGGTTTTGATTCTGTTTAGCCAATTTTCATCAAAATATGCAGGATCTCTATGAATAAGAAAAAGCTAGTATATTAAGATCATGTAGCTATCAAGCTAAAAACAAACAAACAATCAAAAACAAAGAAGACTGAAACCCATCCTATATCACAACTTAATTGCAATATAAACATGTGTTTGCCACATATCAGTCACTGAATAACTCAGTACATGAGACTGGATACAATTATAGATTTCTATAAAATCAATTTTCTCTTAGCTCATTAAAAAACATATATTTTATCATAAAAACTAAAAGATAAAAAATAATATAGTTAATATAGTTTAAAAACGAATTATAGATAAACACACTAACTTGGAATTAACATAACCTGTAGACACCACACTAATATCTAAAAATTTTAAATAGACATAATTTTAAATAGACCAAAAAAATATTATGAAGGTTAAAATAAATTTTTCAGTTACTATTTCAATGACCTCCACCATTTAATACTTCAAATGTCACCACCAGTACTTCTAAAATGTTAATTTTTTTAAATGACATAAACAGAGAATCTATTTTCTCAAATGTAAGTATCAGACAAAGTTGGACACCATTCCTGTTTGCAAAAGGCTTAAAATCTAAGATAACACTGATGTGGACAAATAAACTGAAACAAGGACAGACCTGAATGTACTTATAGTTATTTTTCTTAGGAAAACCTCTCAACTTCTATAAATACTAGAAAGGAAAGAAAAACAGAACAAAACATTTTAGCCCAGCATGATCCTCATTTCAAAGGTTCTGAAACTGATGCTCTAAGAAATTATCTGTTCAAGACCACAGAATAGTCTACGTTCTTTCCCATTCACTTGCTGTACTGCCCAATACCTCATGTCTGACACATAGTAGGTTCTCTATAAATATTTGTGAACTGAAATACATTTGGAAAGTGGTAGCACGTTCATTTAATAGCCTTCCAATCTACTACTTGGGCAGAATATAGCAAGATTAGTAGTCTACAGCCTTCCTATATTCAGTGTGACTTCTCCTAGTAATAAACTTTGACTCACTATGCAGGGATCTAGCCATAACTCTGTTTTAATAAGTAGTTAAAATTTCAGCAGTGTTTTCTAAGTAGCCCTTAACTGACACTCTCAGGCTAGGATAAAACAACATAAAAGTAATTTTCTCCAAAATCTCAAAAGATTGTGGTTCTGCACAGATATAGAAATAACAACGGATAATCTTACTGGGAGTGTTCTTCACAAGTGAGAAGCTAAAGATAGCTTACTATGTCCTGATTCCTGCTAAAAAAAAAACAAACAAAAAAACAAAAACGAAACTTACAAAACCATTTCCTTAGATTTTCCAGTATTTGGCTGTAACTTATGTACCAGCCAAATGCCTTCACAGAAAACAAAAAAATAAATTTTATTTCTACTGCTAAAATTATTTAAGCACTGTAATGTTCTTATTAAACTCACCCAAATTAAGATGGGGTCCAATACACACACTCTATTTTGATTCCATTACTTAATATGGCATTTCTATTAGCAAGCCTTAGTATTTTTATAGATATTTTGTTTCTTAGGTCTATTTTCTTTTAATTACATAAAGAGTATTTTGGTTCCCTGCCATGAGATGTTTATTGGAGAGTTAGCTATACCCAAGGGAAATGGAAGCATGTGTCTGCACAAAGATTTGTACACTGATGTTCACAGCAGCTTTATTTGTAATAGGCCAAAACTAAAATAACCCAGATGTTCATCAGTAGATGAACAGATGAAAAGGTCATGCAATAGCAATACAATGGAATATGTACAACCTATAAATACAGGCAAAAACATGAACATATCCTAAAACTATTGTGCTGTATGAAAGAAGGCACGCCCCTTCCCTCAAAAAAGAAAATATACTGTCCACTGATATAAATTTTTAGAAATGCAAATGAATCTATAGTGACAGAAAGCAAATCAGTGGTTGCCTGGACATAGGAAAGGGGTGGCAAGAAGGAGAGACTGAGGACACTTTTTTTTTTTTTTTTTTAAGAAAGAGAGGAAGGGGAGGAGAGAAAAAGATTGATTGTTGTTCCACTTTTTTTTTTTTTTTTAAGTTTCTCTTTTTTTATTGATGGGGGAGATAGAAACATTGATTTGTTGTTCCACTTATTTATGCATTCACAGGTTACTTCTTGTATGTACCCTGACTGGGGATCGAACCCACAACCTTGGCGTATCAGGACGATGCTCTAACCAACTGAGCTAGCTAGCCATCCAGCGCATGGAGACTTTTTGAAGTGACTGCTATGTTCATTATCTTGACTCTGGTGATAAGTTTCATGGGTATCTACACAGGTAAAAATTTATCAAATTCTATACCCGGTTGGCATGGCTCAGCAGCTGAGCATCAACCTACGATCCAGGAGATCGCGGTTGGATTCCAGGTCAGGGCATATGCCCGGGTTGTGGGCTGGATCCCCAGCAGGGGTCGTGCAGGAGGCAGTAGATCAATGACTCTCTCTCTCCCTCTCCTTTCCTCTCTCTGAAATCAATAAAAAATATATTTTTAAAAAGTGCATTTATTGTATGTCAATTTCATCTTAATAAAGCTTTGAAAAAAAGGGGGGTGGGCAATGCTAAAAAGAAATGAGCTATCAAGCCACAAAAACACATGGAAGAACCTTAAATGCAATATTGCCAAGAAAAAGAAACTAACAAAGAAAATGCTGAGATGTCCTAGATGAAATTACAACATGCCAAAGGGTGGAAGGAAAAGACAAAAAAGTATTAATCAGTTAACCACTGCAGTGCAGAAACAAGAATAGGCTGCTCACACCCCTTGGTGTATGCTGAGATTATTACATTAACTTCCAGGAGGCTATTTCTTTTTTTTCTTTTTTTAATATATCTTTATTGATTTCAGAGAGAGAAAAGGAGAGGGGGAGAGAGAGAGAGAAACATCAATGATGAGAGAGTCATTGATCGGCTGCCTCCTGCAGGCCCCCGACTGGGGATCCAGCCCACAACCCAGGCATGTGCCCTGACCTGGAATCGAACCCCGATTGCCACGCCCAGCCGGGCTGGAGGCTATTTCTAAGAAGGGAGACTAGCCGGGTGCTGTGGGTCGCCAGGAGCCCCCACTTCTTGTTTACCCATAGGTTTATGGACTCTGCTGAACTAGCCCTGCTTCAGCTTTCCCCTCCCCTTCGTCTATGGCTAATGTAAATTCTTTCACAACAGCTTACATCTTTCTCCCCACTACCTGATGTATAAAAATGCCTGCAAAACTCTGGGACGAGGGATATGTTGTCTTTTCTACCTAGCCATGCTGCTGGTGGTTTAGACTCCATGCCCGAAGACTGACCTTCCTTTTTGCTAGCAAAGGCCTAATAATAAACCCTTTCTTTTAAAAAGACTTTCAGCCGTGGAAGTTAAAATTTTTGTTTAGCAAAGTCCATCTGAAAAATGCTATATATACTGTATGATTCCAACTACATAACATTCTGGAAAAGGCAAAACTATGGAGACTGTAAAAAGATTAGTGATTGGCAGGGGGTGGGGGGAGAGAGGGATGAGTAGGTGGAACAAAGGGGACTTATGAGGTAGTAAAACTATTCTGTATTATACTATAATGGTGGATACATGTCATTATACATTTGTCAAAATCCATAAAATATACAACACAGAATGAACTCTAAATTTGGAACTTCGGGTGAAAATAATGTGTCATGTGGGTTGATCAAATTGTAACAAATATATCACTCTGGTGGGGATGCTGACAGTGGGGGACACTCTGTGTGTGATGGGGGAGGGAATATGTGGAAACCTGTCATACTTTTCCCGCAATTTTTAAAAACTTGTTTATTGTAGTACAATATGCATAACAAAATTTATCATTTAAACCAATTTTAAGTTCAACAACATTAAGTACATTCACACAGTTGTGTAATCATCATCATGTATCCACCTCTGGAACCTTTTCATCCAAACTCTTTTCCACTCAATTTTGCTGTGAAACTAAAACTGCTCCAAAAAAACAAAATCTATCAATTTAAAAAGAGAAAAGCAGGGGGACATGATCCTACATGAACAAAAAGAGAGAGGGAAGACAACAACAAAATTTGGGAAGTTGGGCAGTAGATGACCAGAAAATGACTTAAAAAACTAGAGAAAAAAATAAGTTATACTAACAATAAGCTTACTCAGATCCATTCGTATTTGATAAAATTTCTACTAAAACTACAAAAATATATACTTTTTTACTTATCAACTTAGTGAAATGAAAAGATATGCTATTTCCAATAAAACTCTCTCCTTGGCACACATACTCTACTGGCTTTCCTCATACCTCTCTGGTCCCTCTGCGAATTAATGTTTTAACCAACAATTAAATGTCAAAGTTCTTCAAGGCTCAGGCTATGCATTTTTCTTCTTACCCTATACTCCTCCTTAAGTAATTAAATCCACACTTACGACTTCAAAGAAAAAAATACCCAAATTGATTATCTCCAATTTAGGACTCTTCTTCTGAACTCTAGACTTGTATGGTCAACTACTACCTTGGCATTTTCTCTTAATGTCTCAATACCATTCAAATTCAATGTTCCCCAAACTAAACTCATGACACTCCTCCATAGCAGATCCTCTTTCAGTGTCCCCACATCAGTAGCATTTGTTTAAGTTAGAAACTTAAAAGACAATTTGATACCTACCTTTTACTAACTAACCCGTATCAATCATTACAATTTGATTTTCTATACCATTTTGAGCCCATCTACTTATCTCCATCTCCTTCACCACCTCCTAGTCCAAAGTACCATAATTTCCCTTCTGAGTTACTACAAATTTCTTTCCAATCAATCATCCCTCATCATTACGGTCTTTTCCAATTCATTTTATTCATGCAGCCAGAATATTTTCAAAATGTAAATCTGATCATGTTACCCCCCGCCATCCCTCAATTGTTTCTCATAGCCCTTGGAATACAAACACAAAGCCTTACATGGTCTGGGCTCCACCTACCTTTCGATCTTTATTTTATCCCAGGCTCCCCCTCTCTGCTTTAGCCACTCTAACTTTCAAAGCACTACATACTTCTTTGCAGAACGTGTTATAGTAGCAACTTTGTTTTCATGTTTATTTAAAATCTGTTATTTCCCCAGGTTATAAACTCTCTGAAGGCAATTTCCCTATGGGTTGTGGCTTATCCTTTTATCACCAGTGCTTGACACAAAGTAGCCATTCAATAAATATCAAACTGGCAAAAGAGGAATTGAACTTCTGGTGAAGTTGAATATATTACACACTTATTTAAAATAGATGATATGCAACAACATGAACTGCATAGATGCTATAATGAGTGAAAGAAGTCAGACACAAAAGACTATACACTGTATGATTCAATTTATAAGATACTCGAGAACAGGAAAAATTAATGCCATAGAGGTCAGAATCATCTTTGGGGCAAGAGGTATTGATTAGGGAGGGGCATGAAGTGAAACCTGGGGCTAGAAATGTTATATATTTCAATCTGGGTGGTGGTTATATAGATGTGTGTATACATACTTTTAAAGTATGCTTTTCTTAACACAAATTCATCACTTTTTAAGTATGCTTTTCTTTATGTGTTAAATCTCAACAAAAGGAAAAAAGGAAAGAAATTTGGGGGGAAAAGTTAAAATCTAAGTATCGATGAAAAATATGCCCACAAGACTAGTAAACTAAAATAACCGTTTTGTAGAACACCGAACATAATGGTTTCTTATGATCTTCATTTGGGAACTCAACACAGTCTTTCTTTTGGTTTCGGCAAATGAGAGAAATCCTATCCAAATAAATTTAAGCAAAAAATTAATCTACTGACACATGCCTGGAAAGCTCACTTAGCTCTGTGTCCACATGCCCACAAATAATTTTTATTAAGAACTTCAGTGAAACTCCGTAGGCCATTCAAAGGCTAAAAGTTATTAGGATACCACTCAGAGGTGACCATGAACATCACAAGATCACTCTGGTCAGGTTTCAAATGAGCCTTCTTGAGGTGCATCAAAGTCTGTATACCTGGAAAGACTGCCATGTAAGTTCCAGAAGAAAGCAACAATAAGCTATAGTTTTCAAACATGAGTTCCCAATGCTAAAGGAAAACAGATTCTCTGAAATGCAGGCATTCGAGCTGCTTCACAGATGGGCAACTGTATAAGACTCACTGTAAAGTGAGCAACAATAAGAATTCATTTAATGATGACACTGGTTCTCAATAGAACTTGGGGAAATCCTAGCTAGTCATATGCAAACCTTTTAATACCATCAGGCTGAGAAGTACTCCAAATTGCATCAAACCTAAGGAATTCTTAAATTCACAGGTAATTCTTTATTTGAAAAATTCCCATGTCCAAAGTTGAAGATAGCCATACAACTATTATGTTTTCAAAGTACTTAGAAGGAAACAATCAGGTATGTTTTATATATCCCAAATAAATACTTCATTCCCTTAGTCATTCAGTAAACACGGGCACCCATGATGCAGACTGAACCATGTGAAATTGCTGATATTTGACCATTTTTGACCTACAAAAAAAGGTCATTTTCATATGGTTCAACCAAACACCAGGCATTGCCCTAGGTGCTAGGACACAACAGTAATCAAGACAAATACCCTGCCTCTATGTGGAGCTTACAGTGTGTGTGTTGGGGGGGGGAGAGGCAGAGAAGAGGGAGTAGCAAATAACAAATAAACAAGCAAATATATGAAATATCAGGTAGTGCTAACATACTTTGCCGAAGAATACAAAGGGTTAAATGGGATACAGAGCACAGGGGGATGTTGTTGCTTATTTTATATGGGTGGTCAGGGAAGACCTCACTCCTACATTTCAGCCTTATTACTAAGAGTGAGCCTCCTAGATTCCTCTACAATGGTAAAATCTGGTTACTAACATGACAATTTCTGCCAAGCTTACACTGAAAACACAAGAACAAATAATTCTGTTAAAGCCACTAGAGTACCATAACTATTACAACCCTAATTAAACTTGCAGCCAATCTCTACCTACACAAGTACATACCATCAAAATTATCACTGTTGCTTACAGTTCTTACATTACGTGCAACACACATCTCATGTAAGCACTTTATTTTTTGTCCATGTTTTTAATCTAATCAAATATCCATGTATAAGAACATATAAAAAGATAAAGCAATTTATTCTTACATTTTTTGAAGAACCTGGGCCATCACAACCCCACTCGTTAAATCTTCCACAGTCTGGCATGGTGCATCCACATTAAATGTCTGGATCTGAAGGGATAAAAAGATTCCATGGTTAACTATATAGATTTCTTAGGCTTCTTTTTTGTGACTACCACATGTTGGGGAGTTTTAATAAATTTGAAAGGCACGAGAATTGGAAATATTTTCCTTTATGAGAAATTTCCTGCAGGTTACTACTGTAATTTTTTCCCTTTGGCAAAAGAGTATCCTTTGTGGAGGATACTGGGTGTCTTCCCAGCATCCATTCTACTCATAGATGATCAATCTAAGATAGTCCTGGTACCCTCATCCCCTCTACCAATGACTGACTCAGGGATGCATAGGGCAAAGACAATTTTGACCAAAGAGAATGCAAGGGAATGCTTACTTGAACTTTTGGGAAAGAAGAGCCGATTTCCTCTAGATGTGAATATATATGTTGCCTCCATCACCACTAGCAGTAACTTTACAGCTATTGAGGGAATCTGTCTTAGGATGAGGCCAATGAAGTGGAATGCAGAGAAGAGGTGTAGGAAAACTAAGGCCTGGAGACCAAAACTGAACCACTAAATTAAAAAACCTTGAAGCCTCCCTTGTTTAAGCATGGCCAAAAATATTTATACAAATGTAAAAGTCATTCTATGGTTAGGCTAGATATTTAATTCACTTTGATTTTAATGTATTCTGAATTAGAACTAACTTTGTATTGGTCAACAAGATGTGGCCAAAAAATAGTAGAAATTATTTCCATGAGTAAGATAATATAGCAGAGCCAGCAATGATTACACCCAGCAGTGCAGCCAAGATTTAGAAGGAAATAAATCACCGAGGACAGACAGATACAGGCCATGCTCTCACACAGTTTATAGGTCAGTAAAATGAAAGAATATTATAGGAAATGTAAACACCAAGCACAAAGATTAGAAGTGCGAGTAGGATCCAATCCAGGAATGAAAAGCAGCTTGGTGTGGATGGGGGGAGTGGAAATTGGAGGAAGAGATGGAACATGGAAAAGAGTAAAATGGTGTAAGGGTTAAAAAGGAAGCATTATTGTGCAAAACCTCATAAGTCACTTTATGATTTTATCCTAAGAGCAATGGGGAGTAAGCAAGAGTGTGAGGCCAGGAGATCTGCATTGCACAGGGGTGGGCAAAAGTAGGTTTACAGTTGTGAGTACACAAAACACAGAATTTATTCTTGTATTATTATTTATTATTGTATTTTCCATGTGAACAACTGTAAACCTACTTTTGCCCACCTCTGTATAAAGACCATATGATTCTATTGAGAATCACTATCATCATTAAATGAATTCTTGCTTTTGTTCACCTTGCAATGACCTTGGAAATATTGGGACTAACACTCAGGTGACCATCTGCCCTCACACACATTTTTATTGATTGGATTATATATCTCCAAAATACTTCAGGATAGCAGCACAATAAAATTTAAAGATAACTGCACCCAATTGCATTAAGGCATAACGTTCTACCTGAAGGGTCATAACCTCTCTTTTAATTCCAAGAAGCCATTTTAACACCACCCAACCTCCACATCACCCTCCCCCATAAAAGCATGAGAAAAGTATAAAGCATGAGATCACCTGGAATTAGTGTTTCTAGAGCAAAAGTTCTCAACCAGGAGCAACTTCACTCTCAGTGAGGCATTTTTGTTTCTAACAACTAGCTGGGTGCTATTGGTAACTAGTAGGTAGAAGCCAGGGATGCTACTACTAAACATGCAATACTGCACAAACAGAGCCTACAACAAAGAATTATCCAGCCCAAAATATCAATAATGCTAAGGTTAACAAAATCTGCTGCAGAACAGTCATTTTCAAAGTGTGGTAGCCCCAGGCCACTAACAATAGCATCACCTTGTTAGAAATGCAGACTATGAGGCTCCAGCCCAGATCTACTGAATTACAAACTCTGGACCTGGGGCCTAGCATTCAGTGTTTTAATGAACCCTCCAATGAAGGTGATCAATACTAAAGCATAAGAGCCACTTCTTAGTTCTAAATTGGATGCAACTGAAACACAGAGGTGAAATTACTTGTCCAAAGTCATCCACAGTTAGTATAAAACAAAAATCAGAATTTGAACCCAGGCGGTCTAATTTCAGAACCTATACTCTTAATTACCATGTTATACCAACGCCCAATTAAAAAAAAATAGAGCTTTAAAAAAATATTTGCTTTAACTTTTGTACATCTGATTTCACTTGTCCATTAGAAGACAAAAATTGTTTGAGGATGGACTTAGGCAGAACACAGAGAATGAAATGGGGAAGATACCATCATAAAAATTACACCCTCCCTAATTTTATACACTAGTGTTCATTTTATAGGCTGCTAAATAAGTATGAAAATTATAGGGATATGATAATGTTACTGGGTTTCCCAGGAGAAATGTACTGAGCCTGTGGGATGATTCTTTTTCCACTTAGCTTCTTGTCATTAACTGGTCGATTCCAGGTTCTTTCTGGTGTTTCAGTCTCTATAACCTAGGAAAAAGCAATCCTTTCATGTACAGCTCAAGAAATTAGGCTTGACAGGTGTAACAGGCAGGGCACATTTTTCTAACAGGTAAGAATCCATTTTTGACTCAGGGTGGGGAGAGGAGGTAGAGATTTTCAAGCACATCTTGCTAAACTTGCTTGAAGCATAAACTTTGATTTGGAATTTAAACCCAAGATGTTTTCCATTGGTAAGGTCATACTTTGTCTTTTCATAAGCATTCCTCTTTCAACAAAAATTTGGAACATTTGGTTCTCGGGCTAATAAGCTCTTTGATACAACAGCAATTTAACCAGCATTTGGGGCAACGAGATATTTCACAGAGTTGAATTCTGCATAGGTGACTAACAGTCATCCCTTTAAGTGCTGAGCTTTTATTATTTTTACCATTTCTAGTGGAAGAACTTCTAAATCGTACTACATACCTCTTACCTCAAACTAAATGCCATACTGTAAACTTTTATTTGAGATTTGGGATCATAATTATGATCTTCGTTAACTGAACATGGGGACTCTTGAAGTATCTAAGCTCAAAGACTGAATCACCCAGACTGAACTTTTGAATTCTTGAATCTCCTATGTTACTGACAGCTGTCTATATTTTGCTGAGTGCTGCAGTTACCTTCTAACCTGCTGTGTGCAAAGAAACCACACAACCAAGCTGGCAGTAAGTTTATGTCAAATAAAGTAAGTTATTCTAAATGGGAGTCTTTTCTTTGGAATGTACTGTATAAATTTTCTCCTCCCATTTAATTTTAGAATTGTGTTCAGCATTAATCTGGCCTCCAGACATGAGGGGAGCTATGAGGCTGAAGGTACATTTTCAGGTACCTCAAACATTTTCCACATAAATATTTATTGTTTTTTATAATGACAACTAAAAGAGAACAAACCTAGCATTTAAACTCAACTTCCTTTGGAAACATTTCAATGTACAATGTTTTAAAATGTTTCCAAATCTTAGAATGGTGCATCTCTGTGTGAACTCTGCTCTCCAGTTTTGTCCGATAATCTCTAATCTTCTCTTCCGAAATTTTGCTTGATGAGCCTTCCAGTGGCATTTCAAAAAGCCTTTTCTACAATGCCATATTCCTTGACCTCTCTACAGCTGATTACCTGTTTTGACATTTTACCAGGTTCCCAGTAGATGCTCTCATATTGTGTGCTTCTGTCGGTATCCCTTTAAACTTCCCTCTATGATTCTTCCTCTATTACACTAGCATTTCTCACTCAAATAACTGCACTACCACCTTTTTGCAGATGGCTCTGAAATACACCTCTTTGTTTCCATGACATGTCTTTCTAGACTTTAAACAATGCAGCCCTACTTCCAATTCATTTAGCTTCCTCATCTTTGCCCTCATGCTTTTTTCTAGCATGGAGGAAGGCTCTACTTTGTACACACTCAAAAAAAGCACATCTTAAGATCTTTAATCTTGTGTTTACAACCTCTGCCAAACCCATTCCTTCCACAGTATCAAAGAATGTGGTAATTCTTTCTTTTATCTCTCCTCTGCCTAGTCAAAGCTTGGCCACATTGTGCAGCTTATCACTTTTTCTCTCCTCTAAAACACGGCAGTGAAACCCATCTCCCCACCTGAAGCTGGAATCCATTCCGGTTGCAAGCTGTATGTTAATATTATTGCAAACAATCTGAAATCCCAAGAATGGACTAATATAAAAGTTAATGAATATTATCAAGCTCTGCCATTGTGTGTATTGCTTCAAAAGACATCATTCGATTCACGGCATAAGCCAAATTATGAAAATCTCAGACGATTTTCATTACGTTTGTTAACAACCAACCTAAGGTAATAATGTGTCTCTAACCTTTCCCCCGAAGTGCCCCACAGAGGAGAGTGACGTCGATACACTCCAGGGATCTGAACTCTGAACTCCAAACCCAGGGCACCGCTAAATCAATTTCTTTGACATCTGTGTTTCACATTGAACATTAATCCAAACGAGGTAGTCACCTTCGTAAGTATACTGGTGTTTTATTCTAGAAACGGGATTTAACATTTTTAGCAATGAATCCAATGAATGCTCCAAAAGAAGCACCAGGCTTCTCCCGCGGCTCCGACGACCTCTACGCACGCGCGCCCTCGCCAGCCACTGACACGGCGGTTTGAGAAACACAGGCGCGGGGTTTAGGTCCAGCTCCTGAAGAGGCTGCTAAGGGCACGAGCGCTGGCATCAGGATCGAACACGTATTTACATTAAAACGTGAGCATTTTCAATAAGCGTTTAGGAAATTAACACGAGAATCCCACAACGCTGCCCCTGAAAAACGTCCTTTCACTGCTGACTCAAACGCCGTCCAGATGTGCTTTTTATCTTCGCCACCCGTAATAAGTACCTCCACGCCGCTTCCTTCCTAATCGCTGAAGTGCATCTCGCATTTTTAAAGAGTGTTTCTGCGTACCTTTTCGTATTTTTCCTACCCTCCCTTAAAAGTACTTCTCCTTTCCCGGGGGCCGCCTCAGCCCTCGAGGGGCTGCGCTCCATCTTCCGTGAACGTCACAACAAAGGCGAGGCGCGTCGCG